AGTACATCGAGTATTCTTTTTTTTTTTCCGAGACAGAGTCTCGCTCCGTCGCCCAGGCTGGAGTGCAGTGGCGCAATCTGATCTCAGCTCACTGCAAGCTCCGCCTCCTGGGTTCACACCATTCTCCTGCCTCAGCCTCCCAAGTAGCTGGGACTACAGGTGCCCGCCACCACGCCTGGCTAATTTTTTTATTTTTTTGTAGAGACAGGGGCTCATTATGTTGGCCAGGCTGGTCTTGAACTCCTGGGCTCAAGTGATCTGCTCGCTTCAGCCTCCCAAGGTGCTGAGATTACAGGTGTGAGCCATCGCACCTCTTATATCATTAGTATTACACATTATGAGTTACAGATTATAATATTAATATTATGTTATCTATTATGTTATATTACTATTGTATTATTAATATATTAATATAGAATTCTTTCAGTAGATTTTATAAGTGAAAAAAAAAGGTGAAACTTCTGTGTAAGAGTGGTGGATTGAACACCTCTCTAGTTTCACTCCCTCTTGAACCTCAAGTACATCTATTTTTAAAATGGCTTTTTTTTTTTTTTCTAAAGACAGAGGCAATATGACAGGGATAGAACTTTGGAAACTGGAAAGCAGCTGGACATGCTAATCCCACCCCACCGCCAAAACCCATGAATCCTAAGCCAGCAATTGGGGGATGCTGAGAACCAGTAGCAAAGTCCTCAAAAGGAGTTGGCAACACCAGGCCAGTTTTGCGGAAGGCAAAACAAAGATGAACTGAGGACTGTTTCAGCAGCAGCTAGATCTCCAAATCCCATTTCTCCTCTCCCTTTACTCTTCCTCCATCCCCAGTTATGGTGGTTTATTCTGTAGACAGGACGAAACACAAAGGGGCCGCTGGCTTTGGGGACATCTGGCCCATCTGAAGATGAGGGAGGGGGATTCTGAATCCCAAGTAGGGACTGAGTGAGTCTTGCTGGCTGAATGCCCGACAGCTCCCTGCCTCTGCCCGGGTGGCTCCCAGAAGCTGGCCTTGGCAGCCTGGCCTTCACCCCCCGCCAGGAGGCCGGAGGAGTTTTCTCAGGAGGATTTGACCAGCCCCAGAGGAAGAACAAAAGATGGTGACATCTGGCACTCTCCAACATATAAAGCAAGATGCAAAACAGTGTGTACAGGTCGGGTGGGTGCGGTGGCCCATGCCTGTAATCCCAGCACTTTGGGAGGCCAAGGTGAGTGGATCACTTGAGGTCAGGAGTTCGAGACCAGCTTAGCCAACATGGCGAAACCTCGTCTCTGCTAAAAATACAAAAATTAGCCAGGCTTGGTGGTGCACGCCTGTAGTCCTAGTTACTCAGGAGGCCGAGGCAGGAGAATCACTTGAGCCCAGGAGGTGGAGGTTGTAGTGAGCCAACAGCATGCCACTGCACTCCAGCCTGGGTGACGGGAGTGAAATCCTATCTCAAAAAAAAAAAAAAACAAAAAAAACCCAAAACCAAACAAACAGCATGTATACAAACAGTCAGCCTGGGTGACTGGCTGCCTTGCTGGGAGTGGGGGATGGGGGGACAGAAAGAGGAAATAAAGTTAAAAATACAGACATGCAAACTGACCTTTATATGTACAGATCTGTGCTGTCCAATCCAGAAGCCATTAGCCACATCAGGTTGTTCACATTTCAGTAAATTAAATGACAAATTCAGTTCCTCAGTCACACTGGCCTCATTAAGTATTCTATAGCCATGTGTGGCCAGCGGCCTCTGGATTGGACAGTACAGATAAGAACCATTTTCTTTCTTTTTTTTTTAGACAACAGTCTCACTCTGTTACCTCGGCCAGAGTGCAGTGGTGTCATCTCAGCTCACTGCAACCTCTGCCTCCTGGGTTCAAGCGATTCGTGTGCCTCAGCCTCCCGAGTAGCTGAGATTACAGGCACCTGCCACCATGCCTAGCTAATTTTGAATTTTTAGTAGAGACCAGGTTTCGCCATGTTGGCCAGGCTGGTCTTGAACTCCTGACCTCAGGTGATCCACCTGCCTCAGAGTCCCAGAGTGCTGGGATTACAGGTGTGAGCCACCATGCCCAGCCTGGATAAGGAACATTTCTATCATTGTTGAAAGATCCACTGGGCAGTGCTGGTCCATAGGATAGAAAGCGAGATACGATTTATAAGCTGCTAGTAACTCTGGAGGGGAGGGGACCTGGGGGACAGGACGTGACAAGAAGACTTTTCACTACATACCCTTTTTAGAACCATGTGAATGTATAACATATTCAAAAAGTAAATATTTAAATGTTGCTTCACTAATCTGTCTCTCCTGTCCTAGAACTTCTTCCTCCTTTCTTTTAAGAGTATTAAGTGGCTGGGCACAGTGGCTCATGCCTGTAATCCCAGCACTTTGGGAGGCTGAGGTGGGCCAATTGCCTGAGGTCAGGAGTTCAAGACCAGCCTGACCAACATGGAGAAACCCCGTCTCTACTGAAAATACAAAAATTATCCAGGCATGGTGGTACACGCCTGTAATCCCAGCTACTTGGGAGGCTGAGGCAGGAGAATTGCTTAAACCCAGGAGGCGGAAGTTGCGGTGAGCCAAGATCGCGCCATTGCACTCCAGCCTGGGCAACAAGAGCAAAACTCTGTCTCAAAAAAAAAAAAAAAAAAAAAAGTATTAAGGCAGGCCAAAACACAGACCCAGGAGCCAACCTTGGTTTAGCCTAGATTCCAAGACAGGCTTCAAAATGGAAAGACAATTCCCCTTCCAGGGAAGGCTGTGATTTATGAATGAGCTGCTTTGCACAGGAACAATCCTGCAGAGGGCGGTTTCAGGGAAGAAAAGCTGAGGCTTATGTATGTAATGGTGGACAGTGGATGAGAGTTACTAGGTCAGTAAAGAGTAGCGGAGTAGGAAATGCATGTGTGTTTGTCCCCACAGTGAAGGACATGGGTCTGGATCCTGGCTGTGTGGGTCCGAAGCCCAGCTCTGTCACTAAATAGCTGTGTGACTTTGAGTCAGTTACTTGACTTCTCTGTGCCTCAGTTTCCTTATCTGTAAAATGGGGATGAGAATGGTGGACTATTTCTTCATAGGGCTCAGGTGAGAGTAAAATGAGTTATAGTATGTAAAAGCACTTAGAGTAGTGCCTGGCATATAGTAAGTGCTTGATAAACATTAGCTAAAATTATTATTATGTCATGACAGAGGCCTGGGCTTGGGCTGGTGGCTTGAATCAGGGCTTCTTACTGGGCATGAGATGAAGACAGGAAGAGTGTGCCAGAGCTGAATCTTGACTTCACCCTGCCTTGGGACCTCTTCCACACCCAAGGGAGACAAAGGCACAGCCAGGAGAAACCAGTTCTTTTCCCACTTTCTCATCTTTCTTTCCTTTTTAAACTTCAAGTTCACCCCAAACTTGAAGTTGGATTAAAGTCACAGAGATTCCTTATGGAGCAGCAGCCATCCTCACTGTTCCTCCAACACAAGCTTGCTCGTGCCTCTGGGCCTTTGCACTGGCTGTTCCCTCTGCCTGGAACTCTCTTCCCTCTGATGACAGAATGAGGGTCCCTTGCCTCTGTTCCATCTCCTCTGCTTCACCGTCATTTGCTTAAAGAGACCTTCCCTGACCAATTCAAACAGCACCCTTAGAACTGTCCCGCTCCAAGCCCTGGCCTTTTTCTCCTTTATAATACTTATCGCTCCATCACATCACAGGACACAGCACTCTTCCTTCTCCTAATTCTCCATCTGCGTGGGGGGTTCGGGTGTGTTCTCCCCTTGTGAACATTCACCAAACTAAATATTTATCATTTGTGCATTTTCTATTTGTGTAATTCAATTTTTTTTTTTTAATTTAAATAGGCCTGGTGTGGTGGCTCATGCCTATAATCCCAGCACTTTGGGTGGTCAAAGCAAGAGGATCGCTTGAGTCCAGGAGTTCGAGACTAGCCTGGGCAACATAGGGAGACCCCTAACATCTCTACAAAAACTAAAAAAAATTAACTGGGTGTGGTGGTGCACGCCTGTTGTCCCAGCTACTTGGGAGAATGAGGTGAGAGGATTGCTTGAGCTTGGGACATTGAGGGTGCAGTGAGCCGTGACTGCAACACCGCACTTGGCCTGGGTGACAGTGAGATCCTGTCTCAAAAAAAAAAAAAAAAAAAAAAA